GTGTCCAAAGTCGTTGTTTCAACCTGCTTCCACTGCCTGTGTACGGTAGAAGGCACAAAAGTCATGTGGGGATGGGTCAAAAGCTGGAGCCCTGATCCCCTTCCCAAATAGGCCAACCGCCTGGTCTCCTGGTGCCATGACCGCGCCAGCCCGCTACCCGCACCGCTCCGCGAGGCGACCACGCCCTGCCCACCGGCCTCCTCTGGCTGCATCAACGCGGATGATCAGGGCAGGGCACCTGTCGTCGTCGCCGCCACCAACGGGGCGAACATGGACAAACGACCCGGACCGGTCGAATGACCATGGTTCACACCGGCTGCGACCAAGCGAAAGGTTTTGGTGACCGGAACGTCCTAAGGCCCAATGGCACGACCCTGTTTCGGCTGTGCGGCAAACAGTTTTGGAAAACACATGGAGGGAAAGAGAAAACATGAATGGACAAGCGTCTCGAACATGACCTTGTCCTCAAACCACTCCAAAACATCCCCGATTCCTATAGTTTTCACGTGTTTAAACCACGCACCCTGCATTGCTTCTGGCTCCCCAGCCCTGTCTTGTCCGTGTCTGTTTTCGGGCAACCGGGCTACTCGGTTTTCTGGCCCCGCAAGACCGCCGACCTCGACCTCGACCTCCAAGACACAGAAGAGCTGCAACCACGAAAGGGCGCCCCTCCAATGTGGGTGAGTGAGCCCGGGATGATCAAGTTTGCCAAAGAGCTGCAACACCGAAAGGCCTTATCCCCAATGTGGGTCACTGAGTCTGAGATGGTCAAGTTTGTCAAAGAGCTGCAATTACTAAAGGCATAATTTCCAATGTGGGTGACTGAGCCCGGAATGGTCAAGTTTGCCAAAAAGCTGCAACGACTAAAGGCAGCATCTCCCATGTGGGTCACTGAGTCTGGGATGGTCAAGTTTTCCAAAGAGCTGCAATCACAAAAGGCCTCATCCCCAATGTGGGTGACTGAGTCTGGGATGATCAAGTTTGCCAAAGAGCTGCAGCGGCAAAAAGCACCATTCCCAATTTGGGTCACTGAGCCCGGGATGGTCAAGTTTGTCAAAGATTTGCAACCCCAAAAGGCGTCATCTGCAATGTGGGTGACTGAGCCCAAAATGGTCAAGTTTGCCAAAGAGCTGCAACCATAAAAGGCGTGATCTCCAATGTGGGTCACTGAGTCTGGGATGATCAACTTCGCCAATGGTTTGCACCCATAAAAAGCACTTTCCAAAATTTGTGCTTCAAACTCTGGAATTTCGACCACGAGCAACAATTCCGAGTCAACGATGCCACCAAGACTGTCAATTTCGTTTTGGTTGGAGCATATCACTTTGTTTGGTTTGAAGACAACACTCACAATAGTATCTTTGGTAATTCCAGCGTCCAATACCTTTGCATCATTGGCCAGCAAGTTGTTATCTCCGACAATGATCTCCACACCAGTAGTGCTGCGAGTGAGCTTGTCCCAAGGCTGTCCCTCCTTAATCTGCTGCTTGAGAGCCCAGCCTGTCTGCTCTGGTGTGACTTCAAGAACCAGGATTTCACCACTTGGCAGCAGCGCTGACATGTTGCTCACCATGGCTCCAAGACAGCGGATGTTGGACGTTCAACTGATTGCTTCTTGCTGATAGTAGATAAAGAGTTGAGTAGATGACAAACGACGCAAAAGGATCCAAAGGGTGGTTTATAAGGACCCCCATCTATAAGACATTTAGGTGATTGTGCCATTGTGCCATCTACTCCGAAACCACTATAACTCCAAACGACCCTGGAACTTGGATTTGTTCACTAACCTTGGGTCATGCCGGGCCTCACCCCTTGATCCCAAATGACCATTCTCAGCTGCGTTCGATCCCGTGACCAAACCAATCGCTCCCTCCGACCCTCCGGAAGGCACAGAAGTCAACCTGGTGCCCTGATGGGTCATGATCCACCGGTTCGAGCCCTGATCGTATCGACCAACCTCCCAGGTAGGTCTTCAGTCTCCAGGAGCCTTCCAACGAGGGTGGCGCGAATCGCGATGCGGCCGCCACGCCCTGCCACCGGCCTCCTGCTGCATCAGCGCGGATGCCGGTCATGGCAGGGCACCTGGAGGGCCAATCTCGCTGGCAACAGAACCGCTCCATTCCTGTTGAACAACACACGCACGTCGGCCTGCAGTACTTCATGCTATTTCATGCTTGACCCATCGCTCTCCTTTGTGACATTCCGGCTGCAGCTACACGTATCATTGTGAACTGAATAATGGTTCAGCAGTGCCTTTCGTTGTGCTGCAACATGCGGAAGTGTGTGCCCTTTGGATATTGCACGTGGCGGCTAATGCATAGCCAAGCATGAATTGCCTTAGTTGCATGGTGCTTATCATGCGTGGCATCATTCAAGCCTGAATCTGGGTCTGAAACATGTGTGAATCTTTTGAAGATCTGAAAATGCTTGATGATCACCTGGAGAAATCTTGCGGACTGGAGATGTTTTTCGTCCGGACCCGGAGATATCCACCATCTCAATGAATCTGCACTACCATGGAACCAACTCTGGGATTGAAGGAGTGTTGCTGCCTGAAGGCTGCCATGGTTCAAAGGGCTGACAACAAGGTGACAGCCTCATCGCGAGGATCTGTGGAGTGCATATCACATGTTTGACACTCAGCGTCATCTTCCTACCACGGTGCTTCCCACCATAGCAAAGCATGGTTTTGGAAAACGTGTTTGGTCGTTCTGTTCAGCTCATGATCGACAGAACGCCACACACACGATCGCAACTCTTGTTCGACCTCACCCTTCGACCAAAGCATGTTGAATGGGGAGGGTCCCCCGAACCAATGCAGTGTGTTGATCTTTTTGTGGCTCTTCCCGTACACCCGGTTCCTAGTTCCTTATCGTTGGGTCACAGCGGTGTGCCGGGTCGGCGGTGGGTGGGTGCAACGCAACACGCGCCGCACAGAAAACCCACAATGACATCCTACATCAACCAGCAGGGGTATCCCTGTAGGGTCCTATAAGGTCACTTAACCTCTGTTGGAACAGTGGATTTGAGGATATTAGAGGCATTTGTTACTTCTCAAACTGAGCCTATAAGATGGAACAGACCCGAATCGTTGCACGAACTGCATCCCACACGAGTGCGTTGCAGCCCGGCTGAAACAGCCTCTTTGAGCCCGGTCCTTTTGGCTGCCCCGTGTCCTTTTGGCTTCCCTTGGAGCGCCCGCGGGAGATTCCGACCATTATGTACAACTTCACTCCAAAAGCCTGGCTGCTCCGCGACCGATGCGACGCCAACGTGTGGCCCTGACCTTCGGTCGACTTGGACAGTCTGTGCGTCTCTGTGGACTTGCTCAGATTGAAAAAACCATCGGCTTAATGGTTTTGGCCCAACAACCCCGGCTCGCCCTGTTTTACGAAGGTTTTTATAGAACATCAGGTCAACGGCCCAACGGCACTCTTCTACTGGTCTTTGAAGGCTAGGGGTTGAGTTTTTAGTTTTGCCCTCTCGGAAAACCAAAAGGTTTCTGCACCAAACATGACAGGTCAACTTTCCAGTCTTTCCCGGCCAACTCTCGTTGTTTCTCTCGTTCCGCATTGAAGAGACTTCTGGCTTCTGGCACACCCCAACGCAAATCAAACAACTTTACCCATTGAAGCAGGCAGGGTCAGAAAATCTAAACGATGCACAAACAATCCAAAACGGACAAGGTACACCCGTGTGCCCGACACACGGGCACGACCGTCGGCCGGAACTGTTATGGGTGGATTGGGGACATATTCCTTCATAAGTTCCATGACACGAGGTTATAGGGAACAACACCTCTCAGGTAGCAAAGAAGAAGAAAAACATGTTACAATACAAATCGTCTTTTGCCTCGTTCAGCTAAGGATTCGCAGTTCGCAGCTTTCGAGCGATTCGACCAAACTTAAACGTTACCTGGACCTTGTAGACCTGCAGGTGTCGATCCTCCAGTAGGATGCACTGGGCAATATATATATATAATTAATATGTATATACATGGAACACATCTAATTGTGTGAAGATACATATATTATATAAACACAATCTCCTTACCTTAGCTATCCTTAACTATTGGTCTGCAAATCTTGCACTTTAGAACAAATAGATACAAATAGTTGGTATATATGTTGGTATAGAATCGAATGAACATACGCATACCAGCAAATTTAGTCATGAAGTGACTAACCGACCTTTGTTTGTGCGTTGGGCTAGCCTGCAGAAAAGCAAGGCCCAAGGTAGGCAGCAAAGGCCACACACATGAGTTTTTTTGTAAAATGAGATCACCTGGAAGAACTAAGATAATGGCGACCTATGCGAAACAGACCCAGGCCTTCATGAAATGACTTTGCCAAACTCAGAAGAATCGCTTTTCCAATATATGTAATGTTAATGTTACTAAAGTCAATTTTCCTGCTTGACGATGAAAGCTGATTGCGCTCACATCCTGAATCTACCTGCACCCAAGGGTATTTTATGAAATGCCTTGCCAACTAGTGCTCAAAAATATGTTCACACATGTCCAGACTTCAGGGCTTGCCAACTAGTGACCCTTGGTAACCCATTTTGTAGTGGAACTGGATCCCCATTGATCATAAAGGTTCACTCAAAGAGGATTCCCTGGTTGGCTCCCCCAAATCCAATCCACTTCTCCCCCACGGCAACTCAATCTCATCGCCCGACGAAAAAGACACCGAACACATCATCTATGCCATGCCTATTCCCCAGGGATCCAAGTACCTGCTCAGAAGGTGATTGGAGACTATTTATGTAGGCTTGGAGGGCCCAAGTACCTCCTGAGAAGGTATGTGGATCCCTAGGGATTGTTAACTGTTGAGTGAAAAACAAGCAGGCATGGAGGATCATGGAGGAGTGAACCCACTTTTTGCTCAGGGAAGGGGGTGGATGAATTCCACCATCAATACATCCAGTATATCTAAGGGGTCCGCTCATCCACATGTGTTTCTCTAGTCCGCGCGGACCGCCCGCGACCCCAGACCTCCTCAGCTCACGACTTTTCCCAGGCCCTCGAAGACCGGCGGCGGCTGCACACTGAGCGGCCGGCGTGATCCGTTGGGTCGGACGGAGGGTTCAAGGGTCCAGGTGAGGATCGGATGAAGAGCCCAGATGGTGCTTCCTACTTAGCGCTTCCTGGACCTGGGTGTTCGGTCGACCTAGCTTCAGCAGTGTGGGGTTGTCCAGCCAGGTAACCCCGAACGGAAGCAGCTGGTATAGTAGCTTCTTGCTAGTTATATAATGCCAGGAACTACTACGTTCGTGTAGCGATGGTCCTGCTACGTTCGTAGCTTCTTGCTATCATTCAGGATCATGTTCTCCCAAAATGGATGATCTGGATTGAAGGAGACGCAGTGATGTCCTTTTGAGACAGGTATGGAGGAGTCGATGCCAGGTACCATATACATATTGCTTGAGAAGTCAAAAGATTGGCTACATTTGGCTACCCTTCCAGCATTGCCAAGCACAAGTGACCGGGTTCTGCTCTGATTCTCTGGAGGCAAACATAGGCAGACCATGAGCGGGCCCCAATGGATTCCGAATAACGAGAGATGACATGTTGTCCATGACCTGTATATCTTGTATCTCAACATCTGCCAGCCTCTTCGTGCATCTGATGTAGTTACACCCGGGAAGAGGCCCACAAGATAGAGACTAGCGTAACCTCTAGCTGCATTAGTGGTTTTCGATCTCTTCCACATGGATTTGCTGTCCAGGAGCCAGGCAAAAGACACATCGTCTTCCCCAGAAAGGCATGTGCTTTCGTGCTTGGTGCTTCGTGCTTCTGACGGTGTCTCTCCGGTCTCTCCGTTTCCTGTCAAAGAAGATGGTACCCGGTTCGGGACACAAAAAACCCAATCCGATCCAGGGACTACTGGTTCAGTGAACTCAGCGCTGCGCATCGAGAACCAGGAGTAGAAGGCCGCCAGGGAGGCAAAAAGGAGGATGTTGAGCCAGTTCAAGCCCTGCAGCGACCAAACGCATGGGCGAAAGGTTTCCGGAAGGTCTGGAGATCTGGTAAATAGCCCAAACTCTTGGCATGATCTTGCCAGGTACAACTATAGAACATTGTGGACAAACATCCTTGAGAATAGGCCCTACATCTACTAACCCATCGTTGTACTAACGGGTCGTTTTGGAGAAACATGCCGATCGAAACTCCGTGAGCCCACCGAATCCGAAGTTCTACCTGGCTTCGATACAGGGGAGGCTCATGTTTGAAAGAATCAAAAGAAGGATCAAGACAACCACAGCTTGTGAAAGACAGGAACCATTTTGAAGCAAAGGACAATCTTGGCAAAAAAAGGACCAGTGACGATACTTGGACCCGAATCTGCTTGGTGCACCCAAATGAGGATGACCCTTGCCATGCCACGAGGACTTCGAGGACCTGGCATGCCACGTGGCGTCCGTCATCTGCGCCCGCAGTAGCGCTGCGGTGGTCAAGCTGAACACCACCTGAGCCGTCCATTTCAAATGCCGCTGCGCCGCTGGGCGAAGGCCCAGCGAAGACTGTTTACATCACCGCTCGGCGAACAACCGTTCAGTGGAACGACCATCGACATATGCTTACATCACCTGCAAACACAGGGAAACAAACCTTATAGGCTCAGTAAGCACCAGGTGCTTGGGCAATCACCGGAGTGACGACAGAACGGCGGCTTGGACGAATGGTGACCCGGTGACTCATATCCCAAACACTCCATGGGACTGGTATATTTACCTACATTGGGGTGGTTTGAGGGGTCAATCGGGCGGCATATGACAGACATGGAATGTCTGGCTATTCACACTTCCAAGAACGATTGCAGGGCTTTTTCGCGATGGCTGGTTTGCGACGTTGCTTTAGACCTTACAATATATTATACTCAGTTTTTTTGAATTGATTTGGTTGATGCAGGAATCATGTTGGTCACCTTTTTTTGCGCTCTTCTTGCTTTTGGTATCCAAATATTTCAATCACATCACCTTTGGATCGCTTTCTGCTCACCTTTCCGCTCACTGTTTTTTTGACTTGTCCCCTATCCTGCACTCTGAGATTGCTTTTCGTTTGCTCCAACTCCTACTCCGAAATCACTAAAAAGTTATTTTGGCCACCCTCAGCGGTTGGCTGGACTCCATCTCTTAAGGCTAAACAATCTGGGCTAAGCCATTTATTGCTGGGCCATTGAATCCCTGTCAAATGCTGGCTTCGCAACTTCGCTTCAAAATTAACCAATCCTAAGCCATGTGAAGCAACTGCTCAAGCCATTCCAACCATATTTGAATGACTCACAACAAAAGCAACAAACCTAGCCAGAAAACCAGTATCATTGCGATCTTTAAGTATTAAAGCTTCCTATATTGGACTACGTAACTATACCCCAATATACCCCCATTTCCTGGCCTCCTTCAGTCCGTGTTTTTCGCCGTCCCCGGCAGGCACTGCCGGTGCCAAGCCACCGCATAGGCTCTGACCACCCAGCGGCGCACTTGACCTGGCGTCGGGGCGTGGGTGCTAAGCCGAAGGTCAGTCATCCGGGAGGTAAAGAATCTTTGCTAAAAATAGATACTGAACCCTAGGGATCCAAACACCTTCTTAGAAGGTGATTGGAGACACTGTTATGTAGGTGTGGTATTCTCCAATTACCTTCACAGAAGGTACTTAGATCCCTAGGGGGATCAATAACTGGAGTGATTGCTAAAGAAAGTAGTCATCCGTTTGTCATCCGATGATGAGATAGATACTCTGCAACCAAAACCAAAACAGTGGGAGGAGTATCCATCTGGGAGTGCAGAGTTGTTTTGGTTTAATCATTTGTTATCCATCCACAGTGGATATAATCAACACAGTGGGAGTTGATTTCCTAAAACCGAAGCTGGTAACACTGGAAGTTGTTCATCGGACTTGGTCACGGTGCTGGTAACACTGCTGTCCTGGTGTGAAGTATTAATTAGGTGAGGCCATGGTGGGAAAAGAATAGTCTCGGAGTCTCAACAGTAAACCACGGCCGATGTAGTTCTGCACAAGGGGACCCGAACTTCTTGTCCCTCCGGTCCAATTTTTTGCACACCGACTTCAGGTAGTGCTCGAACCTTTCACCACTTAAAGTCACTTAGACAGGTTGACCAGGTTGACCTTTTCCACAATGTTGTATGAATGTACGAAATGACCCCCCAAAGGTTTTAGGATGTTTCAGGCTGCGGGGTGCAAGCACCCTCTTCTTTCTACTTCAGCAGCAACCCTGCAGAAGCAAAGCTTAGCTGCTATGCGCAGGCATACCAGTGATAGAACTTGTCAAAGCTCTTTCCCGCTTACACAAAAGGCGATCCTGGATCCACATACCTTCTCACAAAAGACTTGGACCATCCAAGTCTGCAAAGTAGAGTCTCCAATCACAATATGTTAGAGGGTATGTGGATCCAAAGAAAAATTATCCCCACATCATCCCACATCTCCCGCACCATCGTCGGTCTCTCGCGCGGCCCAGGTGAGAATTCCTTGTCCAAAGATCAGGGCCTCAGGCGATGGCACCAGTCCAGTTTCGGGCAGCGGCACTGAAACCGGCGGACGCATGAACGACTCAAGAGGTGAAGGCGGAGTTGCGTGTGACAAGAAACACAAGAAAAACACACTTAAAAAACTCGTATTTTATGCGGATGGTGCAGTTCTGACCCTTTAGATCCGGTGATGGATCCAAAGGATCAAATTACAACACATGATGAAACATATTAACATGTCATGAACATCCCCCCCCAAAAAAAAACACAATGACCTATGATGAAATAGTCATGAAATCCTGAGATGGATCCCCAAATCAAAGATGTTCACCTGACCACTTTAAAAAGCACACACACGCAGCCGACTGCCGACCGCCGAGTGGCGCCATAAAGCCGGATGACCACGTGCGTGATCTTCACCTGTGAAGGGACCAACGCCGGTGAACACGGGAAGCCAAGCACTGGTTTCTCGGCCTCCAGGGCCAGCACTTGGTGGTTCTTGTAGAAATTCATGGTCCCTGAAGTGGATGTGACAAGGGCACCCCGAATGATCCTCCAATAAGCACTACTTTTGGGAACTGCTGGCAGGGTGTTCGAGAAGAATTGAACTATTCATTATATATACCCCAGGGATCCAAGTACCTGCTCAGAAGGTGATTGGAGACTATTTATGTAGGCTTGGAGGGCCCAAGTACCTGCTGAGAAGGTATGTGGATCCCTAGGGATATATATACACATAGTCACATAGTACATATGCAAACAACATAAACAACGTGTGGAGATGAACAAACGGACCTTGGCTACTGTTTGTCCAATGGCTGTGCAAACACAGTGGCCTTCAAGCATATCAGTAGACGTTTTTGCGACCACATCCCTGTGGTGAGATCACAGCACCCACTGGCTCAGTGGGCCATCGCAAAAAACTAAAAACAAACACACGACCGATGATTCATTAAAAAAACACAAACATTACATCGCAACATATCACGACAATGCATGTGTTTGTAAAAAGGGCAACTATGGAAGCCTCCTTTTTTGTCTGCTGCAACCGAAAGCGGCACACACCCGTGCCCTTGTATTGGTGATCGCATGCCCGAGTCGGTTATGTTGAGCAATCCTGCCAAAAAAAAGCAACAGCAAAAATAACATAGCATCCTGTTCTCAGGTCATTATAGCTTTCAACCAACAACAGGTGTCTTCTCATATATATATATGGTCTATATAGAACCCCCTGCCAAGGTTTGCTGGGTTTCATGCTGTTCGCCTGGCCATCATCCGGGTTCCACCGCCAGGTCCCGTGCCACCTGGCGAAAAAGCGCCCATCGACGAATCGACGATAGTGGAAAAAGGAACTCTTTTGGCGTGTGCCCAGAAACGTCAAAACCCATATTTATGATAGCTACCCCTACAAGTCCAGTCTGATCCAATAAAACCTGGTCTTATTTGACCTCCTTAAGTTGTGTTTTTGCATAACCAACTCTAGTGAAATGAGGTCATTGACCTGTAGGGTACCTTAACTAGAACTTAATCCTTTAACTAGGGAAAGGCGTGGAAATGAGAAGTCCTTGATCACAGATATATAAATGGACATGAACACACTATGACCTTAATCAACAAAAAATATGTTCTATCATGTCCACGGTCAAACAACAATCCCACACAACCTCCAAAACATAATATATGGTGAGCCAAACATGATTAAAATAGAGCTAATGCACGCAACAGTTATGTTCTTACATGTTGTTCAAAACAATGTGACAACAAGTTTTAACCACATGCTGCTAGATATTTTTTATTGCTTGGCAGTTGCCCTGAGACGTACTGATATGATATTCAATGATATGCGTGTGTGTTTCAAAGTTTACATACCAACAAGGGTGGGCATTGCCTGACCAACGTATTGGAAACCGTGAAGAGGTGTCAGCACTTAGCTTTCCACGTGAAGTTGGAGGGGGGTTGGACTGTACAATTTTTGGCAACCAACAAAAATCATATAGCATTTGTGGAGGCGCTGCGTCCGTTGGCAAGATTGTTGGATCGAGTACGTTGCAACTTGGCCTGCGCAAATGCGACCCTTGTCACCGCTTGGGTAAATAAGAAACCATCTGTGGTTTCGTTTTTATATTTGCAATGCCCTGGAGTTCTGTTGATGTAGTAGTATGTTCCATCTGACTAATTAACTTGTTGCAACAAAAAGCTTGGACCACAGTACACCCCAACCCTCCAAGGACCCAGGCTGCCTCACTACTGCAGCTGCTTAGCGTTGGGGAGCTCGAGTGCAACGTGTGTGGGACAGGTCACAGGAGTCACGGTCCAGATTGCAGATCATTGCATGGTAGTTGCTTGAAGTTAGAGAGGATTTTGTTGTCAGACAAACGGCTTTCCTTGGAGGCAGCAATCACCAAGCAAAGCTTAATTCCAGGAGGTACTTCAGGGTGCCATCAGAACAACAGCTGCAAACGCCTTGAAAGAGGCCCTTCACAACAAACGCCTACCTATACTTACAGGATGTGCACTACTACTACTACTACCACGACTACGACTACGACTACGACGACTACTACTACTACTACCACCACCATCCTGAGCATCGGATATTAATTTATAAATCAATACTCTACAGAATCTGTTGATATTGAATTTGAAATCAACGTGTTTAGATTGATTTGGAGTCAGCCAGACTAAAACAAAGTCATAATAAGACCCCAAATCAATACAATTCTATGGATTGAAAGCTGCACAAATCAAACCTGAAGAAGTACAGCAAAGTTGCTTTTCCACTGAAAGGCTTGACTGCTTCTGCCATTTATATTTTCTTGTTGCCATCTGCCATCCATATTACAGAATTGATTGTTCTGATTGTTCTGTATGTTCTTGTTGCCATCCTTCATATAGGTCTCCCAGTCCACTTGTCTGGACAACTCATCCTCTACGCTGGCCATCCCCCTTCCGTTTGAACGGCTCCTTCCTGGTGTTGAAGGTGGTCCCACTTGCCAAGGGCTTGCCTTTGTTGCCTCGCTGTCTTCACTGCTTCGGCAGATTCTGTAGCAACATTCTGTCCGCATGCGCTGGCACGCATCCGCCTGTTCTGTAGCGCGATGGCATCAAAGGGGGCCAACGACGGGTTTCGCCCCGTGAACTCATTGCAGGAAAGACGGAGATCTCGCCGCCTATCCTTAAGGAGATCCCGTCTTCTCGTGCGGTCGCCGTCTTTTTTGGTTGCTTGGGTTTCTGAAGGGGTGGCGCATCAGAAGGGGGCCGGGCCGCGCATTGGGGTAAGGGGTGTGCACGGAATGACGGACACCAAACACTGCAACCTTGGGCGCTTTCCCGTCCTCGTCCACTACAACGGTGCCAACTCTTGCAACCCTGACCGGGCATGGTGCATCATCATAGACCCCAGGTTCAATGCAAGTGTATCTCCGGTTGCTGGGGTCAATTCACCCAAGAATCGAGCATTGCTATCAATATGATTTAGCCGCTAGCAGTGATCATTGACTTTGGCTGCTTGGCTGCTTTGCTTGCAGCCTCACCCACATCCCGAAGAAATGTGACCCTCCGACTCACCAAGATGGAAGTGGAAAATGGACCTCGATCACTGTTTCCTTTACGAACCAGGCATTTTCTTTGACAACCACGGGCCCGTTTTTGTCCGTCCACTCCCAAAAAAAGGTGCCCCGAAGGATTTCGGAAGGCCCCCCGGTGCCGGAATCCGAGGCGGCGGCTCTTCTCCCAAGAAAAAGCCGAAGAAGTGTGGGAGCAAGAACCTGCAGCGAACCGCGCAGCGAACCGCGCAGAGCTGCGGATACAGCAGCTCCAACAGCGCGGCCGGAACTGGGCCGAAGCGTGCAGGTCATCTGTCATGCAACCACGTGCCGCGGTACGTGGCCCCAGCGAATGCAATAAAGAGAAACAAAAGGTCGCGTTTCTGTTCAGAACCTGTACACAAAAAACAAATGAAAGGATCGATGTCCTGTGTTTTTGTGTTGTTTTTTTCATGTTCTGGCTTGTTAGGGGAGCTGGTTTTGGAGGAGGTCCAAACCTCTCGTAGCTCTGACCCAAACTTTGTAGGTTTAGAAGGTAGGTCCCACCATGGCAACTGAAGCCCCTCATGGCACCTCCATCATCGAAGTCATCCACCTAATTACTCTCGAAGTCGTGGTGGCAATTCATCAATCCATCCGTGTACCAGAAAAAATTGTCTTTCTTTGAGATGCCCCTGAGCTCGCTCTGCACCGACATGTTCGAACTCTGAGTCACTGAGGTTGGAGTACTCTGAGGTTGGAGCAACACCCGTTACACCAAGAGATGGAGTTCAACAAAAAAACACGATAAAGAAACATTTTTTTGGTGGGTTTTGAGCTTGGCTATAGTGAATGGCATCTTCCATGCACAAGGACTTGAGAGCAGAACATGTCTGGCGGGCCTGAGATCGAGTCCGATAGTGGAAACCAATTGGATGTCTATTTTACTGCGACAAAAAAATAACGAAAAACGAGGATGAAGATGAGGATGACAACAACCCTTAAGGAACAAGATTAGAAAAGTGACGAGATCAGCAAAGGTGACAAGAGCAGCAAAAACAACAGAAAAAAAAAAAACAAAAACACAGCAAAAACAAGAAGAAACATTATATAGGAGAAACAACAGCTTCAGTCCACCCCAAAAACACATTTTTTAGCGCTACTCCCGTGAATGAACTAGCATGCCTCCCACATGGAACAACAAATTCATCATACCTTACCCACATAAACAACTCGCCCAACTGTGAGCACTGGGTTACCCCAACGCCGAAAGCCCAAAGCTGAACGCGACCCCGCTGTGTATGGCCAAGAGGAGGTTGAGGCCTCAGAATTGGAGTTGTCATAGAAAAACATGTGCGTGTGTGTTAGACTAGGGAGACACACCAATGGTTTTTCCTTGGTCACTCTGTTGCCAGGAAACTTTGGGATGTGCCACTATTTGACAGACACACCTGCATGAAAACAATTTCAACGAACAAAGTACGAGTAGGGTGATTTGCCTCTATCTGAGGCTGGATAAAGAGGGCAAGCACAGTCATGATGGGCTGTTACTGGGAATGTGACACACCCTACTGTATGCAATTTTTTTGGGGGGGTATTGATTGTTTTTGTTTTCAACAATGATTAGCTTCATTGGTTTGTTCGTGAGGACAAACAAAGACACGACGCACCCGGTGCGTAGTAGCGCGCGCCTGTTTTTGTCTGAGCGGCGAAAACTGGAGCGTCGACCGCTGCGAGTTGACCAGCGAAGAAGGTGTTGGACCATTGATCGAAAGGGGCAAGCCCTTGTGACGGCATAGAGTGAGGCGGCCCCATAGATAGTCATCCTCAAGTAGATAGTGGCACGGCCGTCCAATACATTTTCTACATGGGGATCTACTTGTCTATCCATTTGGGGGTCTATTGTACATGGTACCTTTAAAAAAAAGAAAAGGACATTATACGGGTAGGTGTTTTCCAGTGTTCTCGAAACCGCTTGTTTTAGTACTTTGCATGTTGAAGGTGTTCAGACGTTGAGGACGAGACCTCGTAGTTGGTAGGTGCTCGTTGTCTGCTCGTGAGTAGTATTGCTAGTTCACCGGGTCGTTGGGGGGGTTCGGCCCAAGAAAAGAATTGGTTGTTTCTTGGTGGTATCTACGGGGCGAAATGAGCCACTCTAAAAACCTGCAGTCACTCCCTATGTCGTATCACTTTCCTTGCGCGAGGCCTTACGCGCTGCTTACGCGGCCCTCACTTTTGCTTACGCAGAGCAAACTTCCGAAATGCTTACGCGAAATGCTTACGCAGTCTTACGCAACCCAGGGTTTTGCTTACGCGGAATTCGATATGACAATGTCCTTACTTAAGATGTAAAGGCAGGTTTTTAGAGCGGCTCAAATGGCATTATCACCACCATGGCCGCACTTCCATGACCACAGCGCACGGAGAGAGCGGTCGGAGAGAGCAGTCCGTCGGAGGATCTTCCACTGAGAGATACTGAGAGTGAAACAGTATCTTTACAATATTTTACAGCAAAGTGACATATGTTCAAAGGACTTTCTACTTTTACAGATCTTATATGTTCCCTGGTCTCAGCTCTTCTCAATGCTCTTAGCTCTTCTTTTGCCGCCAAACCGCAGACCGCACACCCGAGAACCGCGTGGGGGCCGCGCCCGACCGCACAGCGGGTTGGCGTCCACCGGATCAGGTGAAGAGCTCGTTGATGTCCACCGCCCGACCAGCACCTGCGGGGCGAGAGCTTTCACCGGGGGCGGAGAGGTCCAATGAAGGTGGCGAGAGGTCCGAAGTCACCATTCATCACCCCAGAGTGAGTGGTTTCGGAGGTCTAGATCCGGTTTCCCCCAAGATGTCCTAAAGACAGATGGGGGTTTCCATATAAAGCATCTAGTCTTGGGGTAACTTGTGCCATCTGCTCTGAAACCCACCGTACAAGACTCGTGTGGCTCTGCACTATCTATACTTGCACGAGAAGTCAACCCAAATCCAAAAATGAACATTCCAAATCTTCGGATGACAGCTTCCATCAGCTTCCATGAGGATCCATAAGGGATCATAAGGGTATCTTGGGGGTTTGGATCAATGATTAGTCTGCACAGCTTCCCCATCCCTGGGATCGCTCGGCTTGAGCTTCCCCCCCGCCTAGCATGCCACTGGCGCCGGCGTTCCGCAAACGCCGCACCACGTCGGGGAAGCCATTCCTAGCCCGACGCAGCTGTGGCGGAGCTTGAGGAGCACGGATGGTATCCGATGTGAGGCGCCAGCGGGTTTTCCGAGTCGAGTAGACGCACCTCACCTGGTGTTTTTCCAGATTGAACCTCTAGTCTTCCCAGATTGGTGTCCCCGAAAGTGCAAGAAGAAATGGAACACTGGAAATCACTGGAATAACTTCATAGAAGAATCAGAACTTCTGGGGGGATAAGGTGTTTGTGCTTCAGGCAGGTCATCCACTTGTTCGCCCGCATCAAGGTGCATCAAAACAAAGCTCGATCGACAGTTGGTGTCTTTCCTGGGCACAGTGCCAGGACAATTTGGACGTTCCTCTCACCTGGGCCTGAATTCATCAAAATCAACATGAGTGACATTCCAAGATATTCCAAGTATACCGTCTAGCTCTGGCGAAGAAAAACTGAAAAAAAAAAAAAAACATCTTCAGGCCAGGCCATGAAAAACCCAGCTGGACCAGTCGAACAGTGCCTTTAAAAACACAAAATACACATTTAAAAAAACGCCTGGCATCGCCCGGTAAGACTGCACTAGCTCGCGTCTGCAGTCTAGCGCGGGCGATGCCCGTCTGCAGCGTCTGCCGCCCAGCGTCTGCTTGGCAATCTTGATGGCGGTGACGCCATTCGCATCCACCTGGGACAGGTCTGAGATCGGTCTGACAGGTGTGCAAAGGGTGAAAGAACAACCCACGCCCAGTTTCATCTATATTAGATAGTTAAACTAGTTACATGGTATATATATAGCTACATATCTTTATATAGGTATATATCTTTATAATTCTTTATATATAGCTACATATCTTCATGTTATTAGGTATATAAATATATATAGGAAGCTCCCGATTCTTTTTTGGCACACCACACCGTGTCCCGACCCGCACATCACATTCAGCCCGGGGCACCGTATCGGGATTGGCACCCGCCTGCGACGGTTCGCGCTGCCCGTGCCGCGCCGGTCCCCCGGTGTCAGCAAGAGAGGTTGAGAGACCTGGACTGGGATGGACTATAGGACCCTGTAGTGATACATATGGGGACTATAAGGCTGTTCAACCTTCCTGGGTAGGTCCTAGGTTGCCACGTGATGAGTTGTAGCTATACTACTGCTTGTTGCCATGCGCAAACGTTCAGCAAGTGCAATTCATAAACAGTCAAAGATCAGCCAAGAGCAGAAGAGATCAGTGGATTTGCTTAACAGTGCCATCAAATATTCATTGCCTACAAAATATACTGCACTGTATCTATAAAATATAAATATACATCCACCCAAGGATGATCCACCCACTCATTGTCATGCACTCAGCCTCGATACTGTACCCTCAACAAAATGACAACTTCTGTGAGGACCAAATGGGCCAATCATGAACCTCCATATTCACCGGATTCACCCCCCACCCTCCGCCCCAAAACCACGCCAAGGCGTCTCCAAGGACGCGATTCAGTTTGTGGCACAGACCAAACGATTCATGCCAGCTTCAACGGATCCCAAAGGTGCGGTTCCGCCAGCTTCGAGGGTCCTCTCTTGTTTCCAACCTCCCCAGGTCAGCTCAACCCCCCCCCCAGGTGGTCAGCGCTCGTCACTTCCTCTCCGTCTCCGTGTCCCCTTCGATCCCGCCTTCAGCAGCATCTCCACGATGGGCCCATGCCCCGACATGGCAGCGAACATCAGTGCTGTACACCCATCCTGCACCGGCGGGCACCGGGGCACCGGGGGACTTTGGGGAAGCAAACACGCGGGCACGCCGCGACGTGTCGGTCGAGTTTGTGGCACTTGGAAGTGGCACGCCGGCGTTGGCCGGAAGAGATGGAGATGCTTGGTACTGCACATTGGGCTCAAGCCCAAGAAAGGCTAAACAACAATAACAAGCAAAAGTTGGACTGCTCACATGGCGAGGTCGTGAGAGATCACCGGTCAAACAAATAGAATCAAAAGTGAAGTGTGATGACATTGGTTGACCCAGCCAATGAGTTCCGACAAACATCCGCCAGCGATGGACTCTACGTCACACGTGCGTCCTCCCGGGCGAGGTCCACCGTCGCCGTGTTGTTCGCGGTGTTGTTGAGCAGCTGCATGATGACACCTGCCTGTGGCGCACGTGTGGTGGGACCACACGACTGTGGTGGGACTTACCAATTTAGTCTTTTCAAGCACCCCAATGTAGGTATGTGCCATGGAGTGTCGAAATCATGATCCCCAATTTCGGCCCAGGTAATTTCGAGCATGACGTGAAGCTTTCCAACCCCCATCCCCCGACACGTTTAGTATGCATCAATGGGTTGGATGAAAAGTATCCCCATCTCATCCCATATCCAAACTGGCCCAGGTCAACTATATGGCAAGTTTCATGATTGACTAATTGTCTCATTCACGGCCTTCCCATGGCCCCAAAAAACCTTCTGAGACTCCTCCGTCCTGACGGCCTCACTACGGCCTTACGGACTTTGTGGGAACAGTCGTGACCAATGATAGACCAACAGTCCGAAAGCCATGTCCGAATAGCCTGATGGGTCTCCATCTCCATGTCCAGGACACCCCAAACACGGTCCACACAAACAGCGATCTGAAAAATCATGGGAAAAAAAGAACGCTGAATAACAATAAATAGCCACTCCGACCGAGTGACATGGAGGTGGATTGCAGCTGGTGGATAAACGATGATAAACGATGTTCTTTTCACTGAACATAGGAGGGGACACCCGGTTCTATGTTGGTGACGTGGCCTCTTTTGGGATATGCCATGTGTTTTTGAAGGATTGGCTCCCACTCGCCTCTTTGGGTCTCGCCCTCCGCGGTCCCTCCTCCCCTCCCCGGATGCCACACCTTGCCGCCCTGCGCGGCGATCATCAGCGGCGTGGCGCCGTCCTGGGGCGCGCCGTCGACCCGGAGCTGCGGGCAGTCAGCGAACGGGCAGTCCGCGGGGGTTCTACGTATGGTTGAGTAGTCAATGGTCGTATGGTTGAGGTGTTTGTAGGGTCTAAGAGTATACCATGTCGGGTGGTAGAGTAGTTATTGATGGTGGTGACTTTATATCCCAACCACGCCATGGGACTGGCAAATGTACCTACATGGACCCCTGAAATCAACACGTTTCAACCATCCCAAGGTAGGTTAGAAAATACCATACATGGAGTCTTTGGGTATGCACTATGCAGGTCTCAAACCTAGAACATGAGTGCTGAAGAGGAGACTCACCACAAAGATGGCCAATGGTCTCGGAAGACCTGAAGAAATGAGGCAGGATTGTAGTCTTAGCGGGTGATTCATGGGGCCTCATGTTGTATTAATCATGATCCTATCTGTAGTATACTACAGATATCTCTCTATATAAAGAAGAAGGCTTCAAAAACATGTCCCTCTCCAATGTCTTGACCCCACCGGCCCTCACTCTCTTCTTGAGCTCCTCCTTCCCCACATCCAAACCAACCACCCATCAGTGGAGAAGTCATCCAGGCACAACCCGGTCGCATGTGACATCCACGTCGCACGAGGCGCACGTTCACTTCGCACAACCCAAGATCCAAAGAACTCTCTAAACGGTTCACCATGTACTCATCCCTCCACCGTCACTGACATGTAGTTCACCATATTCATCAAGTTCATCGAAGAACTCATCGAAACATCACACACTTCACGCCTTCCGTGCCGCGTCCGCGCTGGCGTTGAGCGCCAACAGCAGCGAGGCAGACTCCGTGGCGCCAAACCTGCAGGTCGTCCGCGGACGCGTACGAGGACGGACAGAGAGATCTCAGTAGTCTTGTAGATGCAGATGGTGCCACCCCCCCCACAAAGGGGAGCACCCACACCAACATAGGTCCAACCGCCGCTTTAATGTGTATGATCTGAACATATCTGAAGCATGTAGGGAGATAGCTACCCACTTACAAGCCATCCGGCCAATTGGGTCCAGCAAAAAACAACCTTGTCTATTTGCCACTGCTAAATCACCTCATGGACTCCCGAACCATCAAACACTCGCGATGGACTCCACCTGTGACATCTCAAGTGAAACGAAGTAACATCCAATAGCCAATGCATGCCGATGCCATCCTGAAGATTCCCAAAAACGATCAAAAATGTCTACAAGCTTTTGTAGTGATCTTCTGACAACGACTTAACTCACACCATCTCTGCCAGCAATTCTTTGTCTCTAGGCGCAATCTCAAAGGACGCCGTTTAAATCAACAGCCCAGGACGCATTCTGCGCATGGCCAAACGAGAGAGACCATTCCGATGCCGGGCATGCCGTGGGAACGAGTGACTCAACCAGTTGGAAAGTCGGGAAGTGCCATTGTTTTTGGTGGTCACTTAAGGTACCCACTTCAAACCCTTAAAGCGGTCTCCACAGTGCGTCGAACATCTTTGATTCGTTCCATTCAATCGATTTCTCCAATGGGAGGGACCACCCAAGCAGGTGGCCACTGTTGGTGTCAAACAAAAAGCAAGTGACCTGCTGAAAAAGGGTGCTTGGGGCCTACCCCCCAAAAAAGGAGTGCAATGGATGTTTGTAGCACATATTGTTTCTAGACATACAATAGAACAGGACCATATACTTAATAATTAATAACATATATATATATATGTACTATATAATAATAGTTAATAATAGTAGCCGGAATACACTACTCATTTCTGCATATACATTAGATAAGAATATGACTATACTATATAAATGGGGCTTTGTACAATGAGGCCACTTTGACCGCCGACCGCCTCGCTGACGACGTGGCGTAGACACGCCGTACGCTACGCGCACGTGTCATCTCTTCACCCGCGGCTGACGCGCATCAGGCTCCACCGTGTCAGTGCTGCAGCAATGGACACCCTCAGGTCAGGTGAGTTGGTGGTTGGTGGTCAGGTGAGTTCTCTTCTGAGTCGGGGAAGGTTCGAAAAGAAAACCCTTCTCCCAGAAAATGGCTTTGAAGGGAAGATCCCCATGGTTTTCACATCCCGTGATATCAAGGTTTCCTGTGTTAGATTTAGCTGTTCCCTTACCATCAATGGAAGGGTCACCGTTCCTAGAAAAACCTTTGTTAAACATTGGTATCAACGTCCGCTCGACACTTCGAGGATCCGAACATACAAGAAACATGACAAAAAAAATGAAGCGCAGGGAAAGTGGGTAGCAAAGGATGATCAAGGCAGATCCCCAGGTCCCATGTTTGAGTCGATGTTCCTTTTGTCGCCCCGCGGCGTCTCCCACCAGTCCTCCCACCAGTCCGCCCCATCCGTCTCATGTCGCGCAGCCTTCAAGGCCCAATTCGAACCTGAAGCACGGTTTCACACCGAACCCGGTGAGAACCGCATGTGGAGGCCATCCTCGCAGTGAAGGTGAGAACACCATCCTGATGACATGACCACCCCAACAAATCAACAAATCAATCATTGGGTCGAGGCTCTGGACATATCCCATGTTGAGAGTTTCACCTGCTGATTGTCAGGACCCCATTTGTGCCCAAATGTTGGATTCCTTCGGCCAGGTCGATCCAGAATCTGCAAACCGGGCGGGGCGGGCAAGAGAAGTCCAACAATTTGACTCACATATATATTGAACTTGTATAACTTATATGATATAGTTAGACCGACTCATATACCGACTCATATTCCTCATGTTTAAAGGTAATGGGTAGTTGGGAGCCATCGGACACGAGTCTAGTCGTGTGCTCACCGTGCTCACCTCGAAGAGAATGAGTTTACTGTGTAGTATACATAGGAGTTGATCTAAATTCCTTTATCCGGGATCCGTCATTTTCGCCCAAAAAAACTTAGTTTAGCCAAGCTTTCGCCTTCCTGCGTTTTATCTTAAGCGAAGAGGTAGCGTTTTGGTGCTACTGATTCGCGCATGTCGACAGGTGCACTCGTGCGCTCAGGCCCTAGGATCCGGCTGAGGAAAAGACTCTGGTGCTGCAGACCGTGAGTGTCATTGCTTCCAACATCTCTCATTATGTTGTATTATGTGTGCCATGTATGTTGTGTTTTGTTCACGTCAATGGTTTCTTCTTTACTGGCAAGCACAACATAGAAACTTCACTGTTTGTCAGCATGTGTCTTCTACTTAAGACTCACCGCAGTAGCCGGTCACTCAAACTTACTCATGATGGGCTGGGGTCAGATGTGGCAGGGTGAACTTTCGACAATCTTGAGCTGAACTTTCGCCAAACTTTCGCCTTTTGCGGGGTAGAGTTTTGTAGTAGTAGTAGTAGTAGTAGTAGTAGTAGTAGTAGTAGTAGTAGTAGTAGTAGTAGTAGTAGTAGTAGTAGTAGTAGT